TTAAAATAAAAAAATTTTTAGTTGTGGAGTTATTTCCCAATGTCGAGAAATGCAGCAATGTTATTTATGTTATACAACTCAGAAAGGGCAAGATGGAAGAATATTCCTATATAAATAATGCCTCTACGCACAGAATAGTATTGAAATTTAACAATTAAAAATAAAAAATGTAATCAATTAATTAATTCAATTATTCTACAGCTGGTTTATGATTTCGTTCTAATATAAACACAGCAAGTAAAATTGTTAATAAAAAAAACAAAACTTTCATAGTAAAAGTAACAAAAACTCCAGAAAAATGTGCGAACAAAAAAGTCAAGTACGGCTTTGGGTCAGTTGGTTAAGGTGCGCTGATTCTGAGCTTCACATTTGGCTGGACCCGAGTTCGATTCCTGGTACTTGCAGTCTCAAAAATAATTATTTATGAATAAATTAATACAAGAATTATTTCCAAGACCAATGATGATAGGTATTTGGCAATACTCGAAACAGCTGTATGGTCAGCCAAAAATTCAATTAATTGAAATAATATAAAAAATAAATTTTTGTTGTTGTAGTTCACTACTGTTCGAAAAACCTCTTTATGAAATATTATTTTATGAAATTTCGTTTGGTTCGTTTTTATCCTTATCATAAATATTTTTGATATAAGTAATACGAAAAGTAGTATATTATATTTAAATAATTATTTTAGCTATGCACAGAAATGAATTGAGAGAATTTAATTTAAAAAAAATTTGTATCAATATATATATATATATATTAATATTATCTTAAAATCACAATTTATAAACTTAAGGGTAATGTATATCCTTAAACATGTTTATAAAAGTTGATAATTATTGGTAAAAACGAATTATTAATTATCATAATGATAACGTTTTAAATTATATATAACTCTTACAAAAGAATTATATGATATGAATTTGACTAAATTATTATTATTATTAAATTATTATATTTTTTATTTTATGACCAATCGATTAATGTTAAATTATACACGCCTTTTTAAATCAGTATGGAAAAAAAAGTATTTAATAATTATATATTATTTAACATTAACCAATTGGTTAATAAATTATAGTTAAATTAAATTATATAATGAAGTATTATAGCTGATACTCATCACTTAATTATATGTTAATTAATTATTAATATATTATTAATTAAAAGTATCAAACAGTACAGGCTCATAGATAGATGGACATATACTTTGGAAAATAAAAAAAAAAGTAAAAATAACTATCAATTATATTAATTATCATTAATCATTTATTATTAACTTATTAACATTTTAAATAATTTATTATCAATTTTTTGACATTTTTCATTGATATATTAGTTATTCGTTCTTTGTTCTTTATCATAATTTGTTAATTTTTTATTCACATATTAGTACTTTTTTTTATTTATTAATAGTATAGTTATTTATTTGTACATTCATGATTTATTAATAACTACTAATTTTTTATTTACGAACTTTTAAGTTTTTTTGATTTATTAACAATTTTTATAAATTTGAACTCACAAATTTATAATTTTTTTAATATTTATAAGTCAATTATTTATTAGTTGATAATAATTTTTTCATAATTGCATGTTTACTTTGCCTATCTGTTATTAATTTATTATTTATATATTTATAACCAGCTAATTACTACTAATAATTTTTTTTTTCTTAATAATTTTTTATTAAATTGATCTTTAACGTCCATTTTGACGAAAGAAACTAAATTATTAATATAAAATATTGTTTTCATAGAGACGTATTTCTTACAACATTAAATTACAACAATAATAATTTTTTTAATTTTTATTGACTTATTATAAATTTTATATATATTTATAATTTACTTAATATTTAGATATTTTTTATTAAATATAATTTCTAGTTTACTTATCATATTTCTCACTTTTTCTTTATGTTATTAATTTATTATTCATATATATAAAAGGTATTTATTTCTATCAATTAAATATTTTTTATTTAGTTCATGTTTTAATTTTTTAATTTATTACTTCATATTATTTATTAGTTCCTAATTATTTATTCATTTATCATTTTTTTAAGTTTTACTGATTAATAATTTCTTATGTATTTTTTTTTTAAATACTTATTATAATATAATACTTACTAATCACTTTTTCTATTTTTATGTTCATAAATAATACTGAATGTTCTTTTACAGATTGTATTTATATAATAATAATAATAAAAAAAAAAAAAAACTAATGCTTACATAATATTTAATAATTGTTTATTATTAAATCACATGTTTGAATTAATTTATACATACTTTTGAAATTATTTTATATATGTTTAAGTCTTTTTTTTTATTAATTATTTATTTAATATATAATTATTAAACATTTATTTGCTTTTTATAAAATTTATTATTAATTAATTATTTGTGTTATTTAGAGTTTATTTAAAATATTTGATTTATAATTTATTTGACATGTGACTATATAATATAATTTATATTATGATTGAAGTAATATTTATTTATTTATAATTGGTTTTTGCTTTGTTTTATATTTTTTGGTTAAGTGCTTATTATATTTCTTATAAATAATATATTAATTTCTTATTTTGTTTTTCCCCTCTAACTATTGTTCATTTATTTTTTCCTATACTTTTTAAATTGTATATTAAATATTTTCATAAGAATTTAGGAATCACAATATAGATTATATAGATTATCATAATAGATAATATCTGTCTCCGAGTAGACGTGGTATCAATCTAAACTTGTCTTATCTAAATATTTTTATTCTAAATTTCAATTACATTTTTATTAAACTTTGAAAATATCATTATATTGGAAAGTCTTGGAAAAGCTGAAACTGACTTTTAATATGTTTTTATATCAACGTCAATGAATCTTATTGATGATGTTACTGACCACTTATTTTTCTGTTTTTATTATTTCAATTTATTAATTAATTTAATTTCTATTTATTGCTGTGTAGAATAAAATACGTGCTTACTAGACTCTAAAATGTTAATAGCTAAATTAGTATCAAAGAGAATCTCATCAATTATAGAAGGATATAATATGTTATAATAATTATAAAATACATAAATATCTACTTACAAAAATTAATATGTAATATTATAATTAGATGTGTTTCACCTGGGAACTGTGAACTTAGTCCAATAGAACTTGTAGGTTTTGAAAGAAATAGACTTAAACTGCAACCATCTAAGCTAGTAGGTTGTTTAGCACTGGTGTATAATCGAACGAAATACGTAGATGGAAATGTCAACATTCATATCGTTTTCTAAAACAATTTATATATTAGTTTAAAGTTGGGTTGATACAAATTTATATAATATATATAATACCGGTGACTTTCTTCCCATGGCATAAAACTTCTGTTCTCTTGAACACCTGCTTTGATTAGTATTGAATACATTTCAAAAAACTTTAAATCATATAGTATTCAATATACTTACTTACATATAATCGCCTTGAATAGGTTTAAGAATATGTGAGAAGTTTCTGATATTTTTTGTTGGAATATTTTTGAGCACATTGTGAGCAATTATAATTTAATATAATTGTTGCTAATTCGTTAGCATAAGTTATTTTGTGGATAATAATGAAATGGCTATCATATACTATAAAAATCATATTCGCATTAATATAGTAGTTTAATGAGACGGGAAACTATACTTTTTTTGTGTTCAAACATAATTAGAAAACTCTTCTTATTAGCAGATATATCATGGATTAATTATATACCAGCAAATTTTTCTGTGATACTTCTGTGAATCGGTTAGAACATTTGGAGTAAGATTGGAGTATTTTTACTGTTTCGTTTCTATAAATTAGTGCTTAAATTTTATAAACAACTAAATACCAAAGGTATTTTATACTATATTTACATATGGAAATATCAAAATTGATTGTCACATTTTTCAATGGGTTTTGTTTGGATTATGTATGAATTTTGTATGAATTTTCTATAAAAAATGCTACTTATTGCATTAAATTCGTTAAGCTGATTATAAAAATGTAAATGTATTCTAAATAAACTAACCTTCTTTCACCTTTTCTGTTTTTAATGTCGTCATCTGAAAAATGAGCTAATAACACATTATTAAATAAAATTGATTTCAAAAATAAAATAAAAATATTATAAATATTAAATATATAATAAACACTACAAAAAATAAATATAAATACAATAATAATTTCGTATATAAATATTTATTTAAAATAGTTTTAAATAATTATAATAAAAATGTGTCTTGCACTTCTTTATCAACAAATTTGTTGTAAACAAATTATTATTTATTATTTTACTACTATTATTACTATTTACTTACAAAAAAAATATTCATCTAAACACTTTTTTTAAATCATTTGAGTTTTTATTTAATTTTTATATGTTTATATATTTTAATAAATAAATATGTTGTTTGTTCTAAAAATAAAACAAAAATATATTTATTAAAATTTTTTTAAAAATCGTTTGTTTTCATTAATTTTTTATGTATTTATTCAATGATAAATGCTTTTTAAATATAATTATTATTATTGTATATATGAAAAAATTAATTTATTTATATTTTTCTTTCAGGTAACAACATCCTTAACCAAATATCGTTAGTGAAATTAAATAAATATATTATCAATTCTTATTAAAAATTTTGCTCCGAACATTTATAAAAATAAATAAAAATGTTTCAACGCAGTTGATTAAAAACAAATACTATATAATTAAATAAAACTTGTTATACGAAATATATACATAATAATATATATATATAAATATATATTTAAATAAAAGTTAAACATTTAATAAGCCTATATTATTAAAATAAATAGTTAATAAATAGTTAAAACTTTAACAGTGTATAAATTATTATAAGAAAAACTATAAAAAGTAGTCTGCTGCTTGAACGGTATATATATAATTAAAACTTATATATGCGGTCATCGACATATATTTATGTATATAAATATATAGACAAAGTTATTATATATAAAAAATAAATATATAACATAAACGAACTGATTTAAAAACGTTCACACAAATACATAAACTAATTTAGCTGAAAAGTATTATTTAATTTAATTATATACAAAATAAATAAAATCTAAATAAACCGTAAAAAATGGCTGATAAAAAGCAAGAACAATTTTACTCGCCACCACCAAAAATGGGCAAATGGGAGGGTTTCAAAAAATTCCTATGGAACAGTGAAACTAGCCAATGCCTTGGCCGAACTGGAGCCAGTTGGGGTAAGTACATTTATAAAAAAAATATATTTACTTAAACTATTACAATTTCATGTATATATACAATAAGAGTATATGATATATGATGTAATAAGCAAAACTTTTTTGTTATATATATTAGATATTTAATATAAGATATTCAATATTAGTCAATCAATGGGAGAAGTTAGAGAAAATAATGTAAATCCTGATATGTTTGATTAGATAAATAATAATATTGACTGTGTTAAATTGTATACGTGTAATCGATAGATTTGTTTACTGTACTCTTTTCATTTGATGTGCTCAGTGACAGCTGTCATGTTCCATTATAGATTTGACGAAAAGTTTGATTTAAAGTAAAGTAGTTGGAAAAACAACACAAGAAACTTATTTATATTTATTGTTCGATATAGATGAAATTATTTCATTCATTTAATAAGATATAAAATTAAAATAAATAAAAAATTATTTGCAAATTATTCATATATATTTATTTATTTGTTTATTTGTTTTTCATTTTCTATTTTATGCATTAATAATTCTAGTAAATTTAAATCCTTTTTCCATTTTTCATAAAAAATTTATTTTCTAAAGTTATATCCCAGTAAAGTGCAAGCTCCCTAAAGCGCGTAGTGGCATATAGACACGTAATTTGAGATATGAAGCCCCTCTGAATTGAACCCATAAGCTACATTCGTATGAACACAAATACATTGGTTATAAAATGCCGTTGTCTCCATATATAATTGTCTTCATATATAATTTTCTAAAGCGAAAAGGAACAAAACCCGTACCAGAAAACATTATAAACCATTTTGGATTGAATACTCTTGCTTGAATTTCAATTCAATGGGAATATTCCAGCTGTTTCAGATAAATTGATCGACCTTATATCACAAAAAAAGAAAAACAAAGTCTGTTTTTCAATTTTCAACCTAGCAGGCTACCTTAAAGTAAGCCTTTAACGGACCCAGGAATTTTATTTGATCAAACAAAGTGTTAGTTTTAGAAGCATACTGAATATAAAAAATTTGAATTGTGGAAGGTTAATAGAAAAGTCCGTTTGTAAGAGTTTTAGCTTAATAGACCTTTAACTGTTAAAGTGGATTACTTAGTAAACAGGATTTCGAAAGCAATGATATTTGTAATGAGAGCATTTGATTAAGCAATATCTTTAGTTAATGTGGATCCTTCAACGATTCACTATGAAAACTTCAGAAGTGTTCAGAAGTGGCTTTAAATATAATTTATCTTGTATATATCACAATTTATTTATTGTATTTATTTTCTAAAACTATTTAAAATTTTATTTAAATCACAATTTGTACTTAAAGTACAAACCATTGTAAAACGGTTCAGTGTGTTTTTCGTATTTATTGGATTTCCAAAAAGAAATGTATACTTTTCTTTTACTAACCAGTTTATTATATGCAAAACTAATAATTTTTTATATAAATAAAGTTTTTTTTTTAAATATTATGTTAACAGAAATACATTCACTCTTCATGTTCAGTAAAAATGTTCGATTTAGAAGCAATTAATACATTGAGGAAGAGTTGTGGGCGATAGTTATTAGTTTTTAATTCGGTACCATAAGTGGTGATGAGATCTGGCGTAGTTTAACGTTTATCCCCTAAAATTATTTTGTAATTTATTTTTAATCTTAAATTAATATTTAAGGTTATTACAAAAAGGTAGTATTAGAAAAATTGAACCAGAACAATTAATTTTTAATTACCTGAATATATTAGTCTGACCATACAGCTGTTTCGGATATTTCCAAATATATATAATAAACTGTAAACTGTTAAAATATTTATTGGTTTTAATTGGCCGTGTATAATTTTATTTTTTGTTCTGGACGTAAACATTTTTTTCAAATTATATTTAAAAAAAAACATATTTAATTTTTATATATATAATTATTTACTTTGGCAAATTTGACTACTGAATTGGTGGGAATCTTTCTAGCGCATCCACCGAATTTCACATAAAATAATTTAAAATATTTAAAAATTGATTTTTTGGAAATTTTTTATTACAATTTCAATGTTTAAATTTTAAGTGTTTATAGAACTTGTTTATACAAATGCTTCGAATGTATAAAAATGGGTATTGCACACTACTTATAGATGAGGTTTTGAAGAAATATTTAAGTTTTAACATTTGGACGGACTGTGAGTTCGTACCAATAACAAATTAAAATTACATGCCATTAATAAACATTAATGTTTAAATAAAAAAATAAAAAAAATTCTTATTAGGAATTTTATGTATGCCCATAAAAGTTCAAAAATCTCTATTTTGATACAGAAGCATTTCTAAAATATTTTTATATATATTATGATATATTATTTTTAAATTTATTTACTACATTCAACTATATTACCGCCAAATGGGTGATCCAAAGCTATGAGTTTTAATATTTTAAATCGTGTGATCGTTATATATAATGGAACATTGCACACAAATAGTTTCTATCAAAATATTCCCAAATTTGTTGAGGCAAGATCCAGAGCTGTATCGTTGAATCGCTAATTTCTTAATAAACTCACTTAAGCTATATGTGCTCTAAGTCTTTATGATATTATATAGTAAATGATCTGATCAATACATTCAAATATTTCATTTGAAGCATCTTTTACATTTTTTATCTGACTAAAAACGACTGGAAAATTGAGAGTAACTAGCAAATAGAACACACCTAACTTATACAAAAATAACTACAGTAGTACCGAAAAAATGCCAGAAAATAATGAATAGTTTTGTTCGTTTAAAAAAGAGGTTTTATTCCGTTAACGTTCGCTATTTGAAGTAAATTTATAGTGGATTGGTTTGAAGTTGTCAAGATAAATGAATAATAATCAAATACATATATTATCATATATTGTTTAGTGTCACAATCTGACATTATTCCGATAAAGCGTTTATTATTATTATTATATTGTGGGAATTACTCTTTAACCTATAGATCTATTGTATCACGTCCGTTACCTAAAAATATTTCTCTAATTACTACTTCAACAATTAATTTTAGTATTGTACCTCCATTACTGAGTTTATTTTGTAACTGTTAGCATCAATGTTTACTTCTTAGTTGGATTTTTCTTTAGAAAATTAATAAAGGTCAGTACAATCGTTTTAATAAATGTTACGAGGTTCGTAGTCAAAAACAGTGATTGAGAAGGTGTAATAAATCTACCAATAGTATAACATAACTACTGGCTTCAGACTGATGTGTCTCGTAAGTCTTTTTTTGTTAGCGACGGTTGTATTACTAATTATAATATTGATTACATTTTGCTCGTATCTTTTCCAAAGTAGAGAGTATAGATCAGTTATTAATTATTATTTATTAAATTAAATTATTGTTTAATTATTTAGTTAGTTGTGTTTTTGTACGGGCCTAATGCATCGTCACTATAACGTGACGTGACCGGGCATAGGTATATGACCGGTTTTCTCGGACTAAAAACAGTCCTCCTCGTATGCCAGAGGATGTTGTTGTTAGTTGATAGAACTAATTATTTGATATTTCACTGGTTAGCACCACATATACAAAACTAAGTTATATTTTTTTTGAAATTTTAAAATTATTTACAATCTTGAAATTATAGGAGTAGAAAGCTTCTAATGAAAATTAGTTTCCAGTCTATTATAATGTATTTTCTTATGATTTATTTATTTTAGAATAAATATCATTAATTAGCATACATTGATAAATGTTTATTATGTAGAGTGTCAACAATGTATAATTGCAATTATGAATAAATATATGATATGATGATATTAAAATGATATCGTTAAAATGATATGTCTTTATATTAGAATACATATAAGTACATATCAAATTTAAAATATAAGTATATAGTTTGTAAGTTAGTTCATTAAATTTCGAATTTCCAAATTATACACTTAATTATTTAATTAATTTTAACACTTTTAATATATTACAAACTTTAGTTCAATGTCTGACTTAATGGGTTATAGTAAATGACGTTAAGAATTTTTTTTAATATTTCAATATTTCATTTATTTGGGTTATTCTTTAATTTATATAAAAATCTATAAATATTAGTAATATATAAAGATGTGAAAAGAATGTTCTGTAGAATATTGTACTTTTTTTGCAGTACTTACTTAATAGAAGTTTCTAGACATGAATAGACCTTCTCATTCAATAAAAAAATTTGTACGTATTTTTCTATTTTCAAAGTGTACAGTACTGTTTTACATTGTTCCGGTATACACAATAGTTTGTACTCCAATTTTAAAAACGCATCCCTTAAGCACCTTCTGCAGTATTTATAGTATCATAAAGCTTCTTTCTTTTCGAAAATACTCTGTAAACTACATCAGTTTGTTTTTTTCATTTAATATTACAATTTTATTCTTCTACTTAAATTGCTTTTATTCAACTACTCCGTATATTCAACTACTCATACTACAAAATCAACTTTGTAATAAGAACAAATATTCTCTTCTCGACTCTTTCTTTTCCACTACATTTTACGTCGTTTCATCGGATGAAATAAGAAAAAACACGAAAAAGTAGTGAATCGATTTACCAGCACACGGTCTAATAGGCGTTCGTATGTCTGTTTGTGGCACGAATGCTAGTTTGGTTAGCTGTACGCACGCAATAAAACCGCAGTCAATCCCCCATTGTACACAATATGGAACACTATATGTATGTGTCTTCTATTTGCGAATAGATTCAAAATATTGATATGATGACTAATCATTCGCTTCCGTGTTTGTTGCAAATACCAAACATCAATCAAAAACCTATATAAATAATGAAATGTTCTTCAGTTTATGTATATTTAGATAAAAATATTTTATTGCATACTCACTTTATGTGTATATATTTTAGTATAAACTTCTTAATAAACCATTTGATTGTATTCGCAATTTTTAATACCGTTTTGAGGTGCTGGTTTCAATATTCTCTGACCGCTCTCCTTTCGAAAATCTTTTCGACCGGTTTATGTTAGCGCTTCGGTGCTTCGGTGCTTCGG